GCTGCCCCTCGGAGGGCCAGGCGGGCAGGGCTGGCGGGGAGCTGAGCAGGGTTCGCCCACCCATGGGCTCGAACACCAGGTAGATGTCCCTGTCGTTCTCTGCCGGGATCACGTCAAGGAGGCGGATGATGTTGGGATGGCCCTGGAATTCCTGGGGACACAGCAGGGTCAAGGGGTCGGGCGCTGAGCCCCACCCCCTTGCTGGAGAGAGGCGGGCCTGGGCCCTCACCTGGAGCAGCGCGACCTCCCGGAACGTCCTCTACAGGGAGAGAGGTGGCAGTGGCGAGGGGCACCCCACTGTCCTCCACCCGGGGCTGGCCCAGACACCTGCTGCTGGCGGGAGCTGCAGCCTGTGGAGGGCGCACGCCCTCCTCACCTGGGCATCTGTCTCATCCCTAAAGGCATCAGAGATTTTCTTGATGGCCACGACCTCACCCGTCCTCCTGTCCACTGCCTTCCACACGATGCCATAAGCCTGTGGAAGAGGGCGGCCAGCTTGCCTGGCTCTGAGCTGTCCTCTCCCAGGCCCCGCCCCCCGGGGGCCCTGCAGACATAAGCCGGGTCTCCACTCTGGGGCGCTGTGGCCTGGGGAGGCCCCGCCGCAGCAGGCTGTCCAGCTGGGCGCCGGCTCAGCTCAGCTCCGCCAGCCAGCTCTGCTCGCCGCTCCCCTAGCTGTGGCAGGCCCCCTCGGGCTGACTCTCCCTCCTGCCACACGGACACCGCCCGGCTGGGGCCACACCCAGCAACACCCCTTCCCCCCATGCCAACTCCTCTGACCTCTGCAGCTGCCTCGTCCGGGTGCGCACTCCCGGCTGGTCCCGCTCCCGCGCGGCCCTCTGCTGGCACGGGGCTTTCCTGCACCATGCTGGCCACTGCCCTCCCTGCCCACCAGCGTCTGGAGCTCCCCGGGGCGCCCACGCAGGACCACAGCAGGGCTTGGGTGGGTGGGCGGGCGGGATCTGAGGCCTGGGGACCCTGGCTGTCACCTGCCCCTGAGCCAGGTCCCTGACCTGTCGCCTGGGAGCAGGCCGTGCTGGAGTCCGTGTCTGGACACCAAAGAGCGAGGGACTGGGGCCCGGCAGGGCCGCCCCTCCAGGCCGCGGAGCCCCACCGCCCGGCCGGCTCACCCCTCTGCCGAGCCGCCGCTTCAGCAGGTAGCGCTGCGCTACGCGACGTTCCACCTCCGCGGCGCACATGTCCGCCAGCGCAGATGCGGCTCCCCCGCTGTGGACGCGGTTGCCGTGGGAACGGGCGCCGCACCTCCCTCGCGCCTGCGCCGGCTCGGGGGCGGGGCCCTCGGCCC